TGTAGGGCAATAGAATATACGGTCTGTACAGTAGAAAAACCATTACGCCTATGGGATGTCCCCACTTTTCACAAAAACAAACCTGTGTGTGTGTGTGTGTGTGTGTGTGGTAGTGAGTGAGGCAGCAGAAATGTCCGTGAGCATGTTATTGAGTGAGTAAGACTGTGTGTGTGGGGTCTGAGCACTGAGAACAGTATCTGTGGATGAGATCCTCACATGTACGTGTGATTTCTCTGTGTGTGGCTCCAGCTCTTTAGAATGAGTCCTATTGTACACACACTCCTATCATTACATGTGTCAACATTAGAGCCAGACTCACATGCTTCACTGAACACACACATTCACCCCAACACAGAGAGGCAGTGTTGGAGACTGTTTTTTAGTTTTAATTGTGAGCATTATGTGTTGATTTATGGGTAATGGATAACTGTTTAGAGGGGATTTTTAGTGGACATGCAAAAAAAAGATCATATTACTGCTCTTTCATAAAGACTTGTGGAGCTCTCAATTGTGTTTTATTTAAGTATCGATTTTGTGATGCTTTTCCTAAAATTCCCTTCTTTTTTTTTTTTTAGGAAATTAATACTTCTGTTCAGCAAGGACGCATTTAATTGATCAAGAGTGACAGTAAAAATATTTATAATGTTACAAAAGATTTCTATTTCAAAGAAATGCTGTTCTTTTTTTTTACTTTATATTTATCAAAGAATCCTGAAAAGCAAAATGTATCACCGTTCCCTCAAAACTATGAAGCAGCACAACTGTTTTCAACATTGATAATAATCAGAAGTGTTTCTTGAGCAGCAAATCAGCATATTAGAATGGTTTCTGAAGGATCATGTGACACTGAAGACTGGAGTAATGATGCTGAAAATTCAGCTTTGCATCACAGGAATAAATTACATCTTAAAATATATTCCAATAGAAAACATTTATTTGAATTCGTAATAATATTACGGATTTTACTGTATTTTTGATCAAATAAATGCAGCCTTGGTGAGCAGAAGAGACTTACTTCAACCCAAAACTTTTAAGTAAATCAGCTCAGATCATTTGGGTTTGGATGAGTTTGATGAGAAATGTTTGAGGTCATCTTGAGATCTTAGTTTACATTTTGAAACAATGTTGACATCTCTTCCAAAACTCGAGACGAGACACATGTGAGATTACTGCATCTCAGGAGAAAAGCAGGAGATTTAAAGGCAATAATCTCCATTTGCTTTGCATTTGATCTCATAGCTGTCTAGGAGAAACAGCTGCTTCCCTGAATAATCCAATCACATTTTCCGTACACATGCTTCTGTAGTCATTTTAATGAACAGATGAGATTTCTTAGCTCTGTGCTGATTGAATCACTTTGAGCTCAACACTGGCCTTCTTCATCGGTAACACTGACACTGCTTTTGTTGTGTTAACATAGCTGACATTTTTCCCCAGGCTACGTCATCTGTCCATACCATCATGCACCTCATTGTCTTTGAAAAGTGGCAGAACATCTTCATTTTCTGTGAAAAACCATCAGCAGCCGCTGTGGTGACAATACAACCCCATTTCAGTCCAGCAGTGGAGCCTCGTCTCTTGTTTGGAGATCAATCAAAGGTTTCATCAGATTTTATGGTCATAAAACACTTGCTGGTGTCTATATGCTTCAAGTCAGACTATATTTAGTGTTTTTTGCTGAGATGACTTTGGTTTAGAGTTTTTTTTTCATATATATATTAACACTTTTATTCAGCGAGGATTCATTAAATTGATCAGAAGTGACAAAAAATACATTTAAAATATTTCTATTTTAAATAAATCTTTTTCTTTTGAATTGTATTCATCAAAGAATCCAGAAAAAAAATGAATCATGGTTTATCCACAAAATGATTATCCAACATTGATAATACTAAGAAATATTTCATAAAATCAGCATATTAGAATGATTTCTGAAGGATCGTGTGACACTGAAGACTGGAGTAATGATGCTGAAAATACAACTTTGATCTCAGAAATAAATTACATTTTAAAATATATTACAATAGAAACAAGTTATTTGAAATTGTAATAATATTTCAGAATTTTAATGTTGTACACACACTCCTATCATTACATGTGTCAACATTAGAGCCAGACTCACATGCTTCACTGAACACACACATTCACCCCAACACAGAGAGGCAGTGTTGGAGACTGTTTTTTAGTTTTAATTGTGAGCATTATGTGTTGATTTATGGGTAATGGATAACTGTTTAGAGGGGATTTTTAGTGGACATGCAAAAAAAAGATCATATTACTGCTCTTTCATAAAGACTTGTGGAGCTCTCAATTGTGTTTTATTTAAGTATCGATTTTGTGATGCTTTTCCTAAAATTCCCTAATTTAAGGGGGTCTGAATACTTTCCGTACCCACTGTATATGCAGCCTTGGTGAGTAGAAGAGACTTTGAAAACATTACAAAATCTTTCAGACCCCAAACTTTTGAATTGGTATTTTGATACCAAAATAAATTTTATTTAGACCTTCAAAATATAAAGATCATACTTTGCCAGTATTCATTACTTAAAGCTCTACTTTTAGAAAAATAAAAATTTAATTATTTTTGTTCATCTTATATTTAAAAGCTGATCAGATTACACTGTGTATTTGACTTCACTTTACTTCTCTGTACATAGTGAGTAACCAAACTCTAGCAGAATTTTCCATTCTGTCTCCCTTTCTCCTCTTTCATGCCATCGCTTTCTCTCTCTCTGTTTACCCACTCTCCTTATCTCTCCGTTTGCTTCAGTGGCGCATGTAACCTCTACATAGAGCTACTTTCTTTTCATCTAGTCTGGAAAGAGAGCACAAGAGAGGTCAGACGTATTTCAGACTCCTCGTTGGACAGACGGCTATTGAGCAAGACGTGTCCAAACATATTTCAACCGTTAATGCGCCACAGATAAGCGAGTGTTTCTCAAACAGAACAATGAGAGGGTTTCATAGTACAGGGTTATAAAAGTCAAAATACTCAAGCAGAGCTTTGCCGAAAACTGACAGGCTGTGATCATTTGTCTTTCATCTTGAGCTCTGGAGGACTTGAGCAGGAGCCAAAGTGTCAGGACGATAAATGATCTCTTTGTCAGGCGATGTGGGAGAAAATAGCAGGTTCTGTGACTCACGCAGGATGTCTGTGGAATCAGTGCGACACCTGAGGAATGAAGCAATGACAGGAGATGAATAGTGTGATTGCGAATTTCCCATATTTCAATCCAATTTTCTTATTTAATCAATTTGAATATTTTTAGTCTTATTTCTAAGCAAGTACGCCGTGTTCTGTAGCCGTCTGTGCATGGAGAGGTTACAAAATAACATGAACTTTGTATTGTTCGTCATCAAAATGTATGCTTCTTTATCTCTGAGGGAAAGTTTCGATTTTTAGGTGTTTTAGTTGTCATTTTTCACCATTTTTGATCTTTCATTAAATAGTCCGGGCCACTATGATAATACTGTTCAAAGGTTTAGGGTCAATTAGATATTTATTTATTTTCAAAGAAAGAAATTAATACTTTTATTCAGCAAGGATGCATTGAATCGATCAAACGTGACAGTGAAGATGTATAATATTACAAAAGATTCTATTTCAAATAAAAGCTGTTCTTTTGAACTTTTTATTTATCAAAGAATTCTGAAAAAAATAATGATCAGTTTCCACGAAAAATAGTAAACAGCACGACTGTTTTCAACATTGATAATAATAATAATGTTTGTTGAGCAGCAAATCAGCATATTAGAATGATTTCTGAAGATCATGTGACACTGAAGACTGGAGTAATGATGCTGAAAATTCAGCTTTGATCACAGGAATAAATTACATTTTACAATATATTACAATAGAAAACAATTATTTTAAATTCTAATAACATTTCACAGTATTACTGTTTTTATTGTATTTTTTTAATCGGATATATCAAGTAAATGCAGCCTTAGAGGGTATAAGACTTCTTTCAAAAGCATTTTAAAACATCCTACCGACAATAGTATGAATCTGTATTTTTCCCAAATTTTTGGTCTAATCAGTCTATTAGATAATGACTAAAAAACAACAACAACACGTGTTTTAGATGAAGTTTAGGATGTCACAATGCTGGACACGTCAACTGACCATATTGGGACCACAAGAGATACGAAAGTATAAGAATAATTATAAAACTCAATGTTACAGTAAATACAGTAATGCAAAACTTTTATACTGTCAGTATGTCATCTGATCCAGCATGCTGTGGTTCTGCTCAAAACACTGGTTATGGTGAGTATTAATGTATTGACCTCTGACTGTGTTCTCACACATCAGTGTCTCTGCTCACACCACACACAGTTCTTCTGATGGAGCTGTGTGTTTAAGGCAAATTGGGAAATGGAACTTTAGGAAATGAAAGTTGAACGTTTTTCAATGTTGCTTTTAATATCCACCAGAGGGTGCTGTTATAGAAGGGTAATGCTTATGGTTATATATTTACTGTGATATATTGATGTCTAATACCTTGTAGAAATTATTTGATAAAGTTCATAAATAAAAGATTATTGGAGTATGTTTTACAAGAAAATCCTAATTCAGCTTTTCCACTTCAAAATATCATGTTATGTCTTTGTAATTGTGAAATTTACCAGAATATTCTGAGTTAAAATAGTTTCTGCACCATTTTTAATTTTTTCAGTGTTGTTGGGAATGTTTCTTCTGGTGAGTTCAGAATTATCCCCATTTGTTTCCACTAGTGTCAAGTACCATTAGCGGTGTTTGCTATTGATCATACTTAAGTATAAGTATAAAAGTTTTGACATGCAACATGTCCCTCGGTGTTTGTGTTACAGACAAAAAATAAATTAAAAAAAATAAATTGTGCAACTTATTATGGAGAGTGACTGTCGGCGGTTTCACATTGGTCAAGCTCTACTCACAACATCCAGTTGTATGATATACTGTAGTTGTGTAATCTCTGCATTAACGCTCATGTGGTTGTGGTCTGCTTGTTTTGAAGCTTTTGGAGCTGTGCAGATCGGTGAAGGATGATGCGCTGAAGGTGGTCGATGACTTCAACATCCCGTCCTGCTGCATCCAGGCCCCTATCGCTGGAGTCGCCAATCCCAGGGCCGAATGGGCCTTCTACCCACAGCCACAGTATCCCAGCAGCACCCAACCTCTGTCTAAGCTCTGAATGAGAGAATAAGCATGGCTTTATGAGGATGTGGAAGAACAATTAAGTGATTTCAGGTTGCTGGTCTCAATGGTTTCCATTTTCTTTCACATTGGTTGGGAGAGATTAAGGACTAATTGGAGGTGGTCAGTGCACTTACGAATGCATAGCTGACGTTTTATGATTAAGCATCATGCTTTGTGCCAAGAAGAATGGTAGAACTTGCCAAGGCCTTGAGAAAATGGCATATACTCTAGGCACAACACTACATTTTCTTGTTCACTCTTAAAAATAAAGTTTCCAAAGGGGTGGGTTCGCAACAATGCAATAGAAGAACCAATTTGGGGTTCCACAAAGAACCTTTCGGTGAATGATTCTTTAAAGAACCATTTGATAGTGTGTAGGGTGACCATAAGTGCCATTTTCCCAGGACGCGTCCTGGGAAAATGGCACGTATGGTCACCCTAATAGTGTGAAGAACATCTAAAGAACCTTATTTAACATTCAAAAAACTTTTGTCCAATAGAAAAAACCTTCCTTGAATGTTAAAGATTCTTCTTGGAACCAAAGATGCCAATAAAGAAGCTTTCATTGAACATCTCTTTAAAGAACCATTTTTCCTTAGTGTGAAGAGCATCTAAAGAACCTTATTGCACTATAAACAGTCTACTGTCCAATGGGAAAGTTCCATGGATGTTAAGAGTTCTTCAGAGAACCATCAATAAAGAACCTTTATTTGTAAGAGTGTATGTAAGAAGGGAATTTCAGTTATACGAGTTGCACATTATGTCTATCATACAATATTTTTTTCTTAAATTCTTCAGTGATTTTATCTGAATTGATTTCAAATAAACACCAGCCAAGCATCTTGCATTTACAGAGGAGCCCTGATAGCTTGGATCTGAGCTATAACAGCATAAAGAAGTGCCAAAAGGCAGTGCAAAAAGCCCAAAAAGAAGTTAAAGAAGTGCAAAAGCCCAAATGTAATTAGTCATCACATGACACACAGTTAATGAATATTTATGCAATTGTACATACATTGAGTAACAGTAACCGCACTACAATGTTGGACAGACAATAATATATTACTGCAGCTATAGTTTTTAATGCTACTATCAACTGCCATAATTTGACCTTTATTTAAAAGGTAAACAATTCGATCACAGGTTCTAATGTAGTTCAAATCTGCTCAGTCTGGGTCTTGGATGGATGTCCTTTTATGTCATTGCTGTACACTAAGTTTGGACCAAACTACCAATTGTCTTATTCAAGTTTTCTTTTCACAAAAAAAACATCAGTTTGTTCACTTGTTATTAAAGTCTGCCAAGAACAGCAACAAAAAAAAAAAAAAAAAAAAAAAAGTTGCATTCTCTTATATTTCCAGATTTTCTGCAATTGTCAATGTAAACTAATGGAAGACTGGATATATTCAGAGCTATTTTCTTAATTGTCTTTGTGTGTAAAAGGTATTGTGTCTTATTGTGCCACAAACAGTGGATAATTTAATTAATAACAAAATAAAATGCATACCAAATACTTGTATTGCAAGTGTAAACCTAGCTTGTATTGCATGCAGAAACATTACATTGTTTCAAAATGCCCATGATTCACTTGTGAAAAAACATTATTCAACCAGACTGTACATGAAATATACCACACAAGAGACTAGCCTGTGCAAAAGAAGAGCTATAGTGCTTTTGTTCTAGTTTAATCTAAAGTGTTTGTGTACATTTGGAGCCTGATGGTGTGGTGTGAGACGATGTGGGTTTGACCATTACAAGCCCATCCCATGTGGGGCGTGGCTTCTCAGCTTTACTGTGAGGGTTTGCTTCAGTGAATAGACAGCAGAACAACTCGCTCACTCTGCGCAGCAGACACAAGAGAGTGAGCCTCGGCGAGGAAGTGCACTTAAGAAGACACCGAGACAAAAGAGAGACCATTCAAAACAATCCTGTGGACATTTTTCAAACAGGATCTTACATGACAGCTGCTCTAAGGGGAACAAATACATCGAGAGATTTAGAACCATCGATTGCCTGCTATTGGAATTGTGCTTTTTATTGTTATTGATTTTTTACAACACTTTTTTAAATCTCTGGATATTTCGAAATTTTCCTTTCGTTTTGCTGTCTTTATCGCTAAGATGATGCGCTAACGCGTTTATGCCGCAGCGGATATGTCTGACACGTCCAGGTGAGTTCATACGCGCGTATCTTACAGTATACCGGCTTTCTTTAGGACAACTTTGCACTTTTCCCTTTTTTGCACAATATTGTAAATCAAAAAGGATTATACGTTATTAATATACGCGTTTTAACATTTGATCGCCGTGATTTAAAACCCATGAAAGGGTTTAGTAAAATCGGGTTATTAATTTGTTTATTTGTCAAGATCACCCTGGATTATGTTTCGTGTTGGTATTTTATTCTAGCGAAGCATAACGCGCTAAACACAAAGTTGCGCGCGGCGTCGAGGGAGAAAAAAGTGAAACTTCAGACGCGCGTTGTCTGGTCGCTTTACGTAGCGTCCAGCCAAACAATGTCGCACAGACAACAAAAGTTGAGATGTAGTCGAGGAGTCCAATCCCCTAAATTGCCCATACCTGTTGACATTTAACCAGAGTGAATAATTTAACAGTTTTGCAATGGATAACGACAGGCACCTGTTTGCTTTTTTTTATTTTTCCGCTATCCACCGAAAATAAGTCAAAACACGATGAAACCCGCGGTTGTTGTTGTTCTACAGTTCTACGCCAGGCGATACCCTGCGAGTGTAAAAGATAGCCTACATTTATTCGCGCGTTACTTTCGAAATAGGACTCGAAATGTTCCCGGCGGGAAAGAATGGCGATTTGGAACGTGCCGTGCGATATGTGTTTATTATAATAATTGTTTATTTATATTTAACGATCGTCTAATCTGTCGGTCTGTTGGGACTGATACTCGCATAACTTTGCGCTATTGTCTGCTGTCTGTTTGCCTGAACACTTGGAGGCGTCGACGCGCTCCTATTAATAGGAAACTTTGTTTTGGTGCGCATGTTATTGTTACTCGATGAAAATAAATCGCTATAAAACTCCACGCTCGCACATTACCGATTACTGACAGTAGAATGTTGTCCATTATTGCTCGCTAACAAGTGAAAATAAAGAAAGAAAGAAAGTCCCCGCTCCTACAGTAGGCTACAGTATTCATTACTGTCAGTAAAATGCTGACTTTGCAACTCGCTGACAAGTGACATCGAAGCAAGATATAAAGAAAACTGAAGAAAGAAACTGCGAGCCAGTCGCGTGAGTGTTTCTAACTCGCGCTCCTACTGACTATATAAAGTAGCCTACTTATTAGTAGTGACTGACAAGTGCTCGCGCAACAAATCCAGTGGTATGTGATACTACAACAACATGACGGAGTTTGTTCAATTTTCATTTTAGCTGATATTTCTTTATGCGTTTTATTTACATATCTGTCGCTGTTTTGGCATATATTGCTTCGCGGTTTGTTCAAACCGGCACGATTGACAAAGCTGAACTGGCTTACAGAGAACTACGGGATGTGTTTTCATTTTTAAAAGCACGAACGATGAAACAAACAAAGTTGAAAGCTTGTAGATTCCTCTACAGCGCGAGTTCGAAGTGCCGCGTGCAGTATTCGACGCGATCGCCTCGCGCGTTATCGAGTTCTATCCCAAAATGTAGACTGTTTTGCAGTAAGGAAGAAATAGGAAGTTGAAGTGGAGCTCGTTTGTGACGCACTTCACCGGGTTACTAACTTACTTGTAGCGTTCCCTGCAGCTGAGTTTCCAAACGCGTGCAAAATCGCCACGAAACAGACTGGAAGTTCAAAACTCCCTGCCGAACAACCCACACAACTCCTCTTCGAAACGCTTGCAAACGACAGTAATGAGTGTTTTGTTTGTTCTGCAGAGAGCAAACGCCGGGCCGGGGAAGCGGAGAGAGCGCCGGTGGCGGAGCTGTCTTGCGCTCCGGGCACTTTGACTTCCCTCAGCCGAGCGATGGGGACCCGTTAAGGGGAGGGATTTCCATGTCGAATAGTCACCAGTCGAGGTCACCGATGTGCCGAACCTTCTCCAGGTCCTCTAGTGGCTATTTTTCCGTCGACAGCGATTCTGTGCCAAGTTCCCCGCTAATGCCCAATATTTCCGAAGCGCAAGACGGCCAAAATGATGGTAAGAGCCCCCTGGAGAAAAAAGGCCCGATTTTGTGGTGTGTAAACACGACACTGACGCGACAAACAGCGAGGCATCATAACCGTTTTCTTTCAGTGGATTAGACCGTTAAGAATTTGATTATTTCAAATTTGAAGCCGGCTGCAGGTTTCCCGCCCTGGTGTGACCTAGCATTGAATCGCACGCGCGCTCTTCTATATTTTGACCAACATATGTCATGACGAATTTAATAATAATATATATATATATAATTTTATGGCGATTAAAGTAAATAATCCGTTAAATTATCAATATTAAATTAATTATAAATTAATGCTATCTAAAACAAGGCTTTATTCAAGTGTAATACATTTGTTATATGTTAAGCATTATATAAAGTTTGTTAAAACTAATCAAAGACATTAGACATTGTTGGCAAAGAAAATCTAGCCGTTTTATATATCGCCTTTTAGTGGTCTGTATTGGGGATGGGGGTCCCTGAGTCTGTAAAGTAAAAAAATAAAACTTCCACAGTGACAGATTGTACAGGTGAAGTAAAGGTGCGTAAAAATGTTAATATAGCCACATCTCACCGTTTATGAATGTCATCCATTTAAGTGCTTTGGATGTTTAACTTGGCGCTCAGTTTTCCACATTAGCGCAGCGATAAGCATAATGTTTTGATGCTTGGTAGTGCACTTGTCTTGAGAATCTCTTCCAGAAAGCATGTTCTTCTCATTTAGAAGCAGCACAGATCTGTCTAAAGCCAAGTCGACTCATTTGTCTTTGTGATAGCTGCTCTAAAAGAAGTAACCTGCATTTCCTTTCTGTTAACATCAGACTGTTCACTGCGTTATGCATTCTGAAGCATGTGCTTGCACGTGCATGAAGCTACTGCTCGGTTCATTCACAATATCTTGCAAACCCGGTGCACCTGAGACACATGACCACAGCGTGTTTCCCATCTTCTCATAATGCCTCAGATGGAGTTGGCTGATTTGCCCATTGTCTTCTTGTTTACCTTCACTGTCACCGAGGCCTCAAGAAAGCGGTCGGAGAATCGGCCTTAGAGCATGCAGTCAAAATAGACTAGCCTGTCTTTTGTGAAGGCTAGACATGAGATCCAACCATCTCTGTTTTCCCTATTGAGAGCCTGGAGATATGAGATGGCGATAATTGTCTTCCTGTAGCCACTCTTAATGGCAAAGAGAAACAACAATAACTTATCAGGGCTCTCATCTGTTGCTCGCTCGACAGGAGAGTTCCTCTACCAGTGGCCTCTTGTTTATACCTTTAGCTGCTGCATTGTGTTGGCACAAGGTCTTGGATTTACACATATAAACTCTGTGCCCTTTTTGCTCACCTCTTGTGGGTCAGAGGTGCTATTCTGTCCAAAGATAAATGAAGATGCGGTGATAAACAAACCCAGAACTGAGCACACAGTCATCTGAGCACTGCAATATTGATATAAATGTCCTCATTTGAAATGTTGTTGTTGGCTTTGTGTGGTAAAGGCACGATAGAATGAGGTTAAAGTGTTGACTAAAACTTTGAGATATTGGCTGGTTCAGTTCGTACAGGTCTAGCGGAGTTGTGAAAGGAAATGAATATCCAATGGTCCTAATATGATTGAGCATGAGAAAAAACAGTCAAACTGCTTCTCGCTTGAGTCATAGCGCGAGATCAATTTGAGTTCATACAGAATTTGGGTGATATTAGTGTTTAGCCTCATAATAACCTCTGTGGTTCACCTACTGTCTTACAACCGACAGAAGGTGTAACTTTAGCACAGTTGGCAAATATTTAATCATGATAATGGCTGTGGAAAAACCAAACCAGAGGTTGCAGAGGTGGCTGTTTGCACCAGACGATGCTATGCGATATACAAGAGTAGAGGTTTGTTCGAAAAATTGTGTCCTGCATGGCATGGACTTGACTGTTTTCATGAAATTAAGCTTATTTACTATCTTAATCCTGGCCTTGACAGTATGAAGACAGTGTGAACTCTGCTTCTTGAAAGAAGAAAAAAAAGTTGAGGGATGAATTAAAATACGAAATATCTTGATTTGTAGTTGTTTTAATGCTTGTTTGTCTCATTTGAATTCAAATTGTCCTATCCTCAAGTCTCTAAATATGACCCTTATTCTTAATCCTGGCCTTCACAATTCAACTGTGCACAAAAGCTTGTTTTCGTAATCTTTAATCAAAATTTAATGACTTTAAACTGACATTTTCAGATGACGTCACAAATCATTCCTATTGCATTGCAAAAAATCAGATGTATCTGTTTTAGACTCACCTTTACTTTAGACATTGTCTTAAGATAAAAGGGACATTTCATTATTATTTTTCATTTTTAAATCACCTAATTTTAGCATTAAAAAAAAACTTGTCCACTGTAATGATTTTTTTGGATTATTGCAATGCATTTTAGAGAACATTTATATATATATATATATATATATACATTTTATTTATTTATTTTTTTCAAATAAAAAAATAAAACAAATTCATCTTTGAAAGACTTTCCTTTACTTTGGACATTAAGGCATTTTGTTATTATTTTTAGTGTTTGAAAAAAGTATATTTTTTGATACTGTATGTATATCAATATCAATGAAAAACAAAATATTTTTTGCCCAGATTGCTCATCCTTATCATTTGAGGTTTGAATGAGCTTGTCTATAGAGTGTCTTAAAATTTAATTCCTTTGTCTTTCTCAGAGGTATGGTTTGCCGAACCTAGCCACCAGCACGCGCAGATGGCGGCACCTGTGGGAGCCATGGGGCCGGAGATGGCGGTCGCTCGGGAGCTGCGGCGCATTGGAGACGAGTTCAACCGCCTGTACTGTCAGGGGGTGAGTAATATTCAGGTGACACCATAGGATCAAGCGCAGGAGATCGATGATGATGAAATATTTTCACTCGCCAGAGCAACGGCTTTCTTTGTCTGTCCAGGGGAGCCAGTTTGAATTTGCGTTTGGAAGCCGCCCCTCTCATATCAGAGTTTAAATCAGGTGTTGCAGAGAGGAGCGCGCATACGAAAGCGGCATCGCAAGTCTCTGGAGATCAGGGCCTTAATGAGAGAAATGTTTACTTTGCCGCTGTAAAGGGAGCTTTATTTTCATAAATTTGTATTTCTTAATGTTGCATCACTCCAGCAGCAGTCAAGAAATCAAGGCTCTTCATAAAGAAGCAAGGCTGATATGGTGTTCATCATCTCATTCTCCATTACTAGATTATACAATCATCAGAAACCGTTAATTAAGGGATTTAGGATCCCTCTTTGGAGTCCCACTTTTTTGGGGGATTTTATTTTATTTTATTAGAAAAAAAGAATACAGTAGATATTATGTAAATATGCCACGAGAGACTTGAAATTAGCACCACTATATATGAAATTTGTCCAATCAGAATTAGGTATTCCGCTTAATAGTCACACCATGCATTAATGAGCAATTAATACATTTGCTGTTTGTAATAAGATATGACCTCGTTAGATGAATGTCTAGGGCTGTATGACTCATCCTACGATTGTATAAGTTATGTTTATGTATTCCTTATGCAAATATAGCCATGCTAGTACAGTCTGTTCACCTTTGGTTATCTATATGAACATTCAAACTTGTTTTCTCTTTTTGGTGACGTTGCTAGCTCTGATAAGATTCTGTTCTTGTATTGTATTGTTAAATCTGAGATAATTAATACCTCCGTTGAGGAATTATTGCCTTTCACCTCTTGGACTCCAGTACTGTGTCATGCTTCCTGTTTGGGCAGCCGTCCAGTTGGACACGGTTCTGTCTGCTAGTATTTGTGTTTATTATGTTGTGTCAGACCTTACGCTCTCTTCTTAGCTTGTTATAGATTTGGAAACTGGCGAATGTTGCTTTAAGGATTTTAAGTTGAACAGTTTCTCGTAGTCACTCTCTGTAGGAGTGTAAACAGACAGAGTTTTGATTGAGGTCATCTCTGTGAGCTCAGTATGCAAATAAAGCCTTATCTACTCGGGCTATTGTTGTTTGGTTATTGCTGCGTAAAATTACCTTAGTCATTATTTAAGTGAGCAAGACCTGCAAACCTCTTGAAAGATATACCTGTAGGCAAGAGACCAGACATGCTTATAAACAGCTCAACGGTACATTTATTAGTGTGCTTGTTAAGGCAACAGTTATTATTTATTGCTCATACTTTAGGTTAAGTGTGTGAACAAAAGTCTAACATTGTTTTAAACTTTTTTCATAAATTTCCATCTTCGTACGTACGTTTACACCATTTTTTCATACACTATCATTCAAAAGTTTTTTTTTCATGTTTTGAAAACTCTCTTTTTCACCAAGGCTGCACTTATTTGATCAAAATGCTAATTACAAAAAATGTAAATGTTATTACAATTTAAAATAACTGTTTACTACTTGAATATATTTTAAATTGTAATTTATTCCTGTGACGAAAAGCTGAATTTTCAGTAGCCATTACTCCAGTCTTCAGTGTCACATGATCCTTCAGAAATCATTCTGATATGCTGATTTGCTGCTCAAGAAACATTTATTATGAATATTGAAAACAGTTGTGCTGATTAATATTTGAAAAATGAAATCTTACTTTCCCCAAACCTGTGAATGCTAGTGTAAATAGGATTTGTTCTTCATTTGATTGTTATTATGTCTCATACTTCACTCTGCCTGTAGAAGCTGCCTGTTTTTGTTTTTTGTTTTTTCGCTTAAAATAATATATTTCCCGAACAATCACATGTCGTCAGAAAGATATAGTCTTAAAGAATGCTGCATGACGCATTTACTGTAAACAAGTGCATTTGATTCATCAGTGATTCATTGTTGCTGGATGTGTCGTGTTTGCCTGGTTCTCCAGACACACCCTGTAGCCTTATCAGAGAAGATGTTCAGGTTTAGGACCCCAGAAGGCCATTTTTAAAGCAAAAAAGGAGCATTTAGGCTGTTTTGCACCGAGTAAAGATTTTAAAACCATTCATTTTGGTTAAGAAAGATAGCTAGATAGATTATAATGAATGAAGGGGCATGAGAAAGCTGCTGTTGATCTGGCCAGAGTGTTTTACATGACTTTTCCATGTGTAGAAATACTTTTAGGCTTCCTTGTATATCCAGGTCAGAATTGCGAGACAAAAAGTCAGAATTGTGAAATAAGAAGTCGTAGTTACCTTTTTTATTTTTTATTCCATGGCAGAAACAAACAAAGAAACAGAATTGCAAGATGAAAACTCAGAATTCAGAGAAAAAAAGTCCGGGATTTTTTTCGGGATGTAAACTTAGAATTTGAAGGAAAAAAAGTCAGAATTTCGGGATGTAAACTTAGAATTTTAAGGAAAAAATCAGAATTTTGGGATGCAAACTTAGAATTTTAAGGAAAAAAGCCAGAATTTTGGGATGTAAACTCAGAATTCTAAGAGATAAAGTCAGAATTTCGGGATGTAAACTTAGAATTTTAAAGGGGTCATATGATTTGGTCATATAAAAAGAACATTATGTTGTGTATTTGGTGTAATGCAATGTGTTTATTTTGCTACAAATATCCCACGGCGTCATGATGAAAATGCAATCCGAAGTGTTCTAACTGTTAGTTTAAATGCATTTAGGACAAATAGCATTTAAATTATCATTTTGCTACCATTTCTGCTTGGACATGTCATACATATCAAATCAATGTGTGTTATATATTTTCATTTTAACTTTGCAACTTATAAAGCGTTAAAATTTGTATGCAATTTACATATTAAGACTACTGTTGGAAATGGCAAATGTAAATTATATAATTTAATTTTAATTTTCTTTCATGTTTGTTTGACCTCTATACAGCAAATTGTGGAATGAATGATTGGAAAAACCGTCAATGAATTTAAGTATTTGCACATTTGAAATATTGGATTAAACAAAAATCCAGAAAATTCCACAAAATCACATTAAACATTTGATCAAAATAGTCCACAGCAAAATCAAAGGCCCCATGATTTTTCCAATTTTTTTAGTGATTTAGTGGAGAAGTAAACCCACTTTGGGGGTTTGTTTTGGGTATTGATGCTCCTGTGTGTGTTTATTTATTTAGACCATGTTTGTTTGACCTCTATATGGTGAATTTTGGAATGATCGATTGGAAAAACTGTCAATGTTTCCACGTTTGAATTGTTGGACTAAACAAAAATCCAGAAAATTCCACAAAATATCATTAAATATTTGACTTTATGATAAAATGATATTTTGCCTGTGTAAAGGCCCGTTCACACCAAGAACGATAACTATAAAGATAACTACTACTGTTGGAAATGGCAAATGTAAATTATATAATTTAATTTTAATTTTCTTTTTGCAACAAACTTTGCACGTATGGGTAATGGAAAATGTAAATTTAAATACAGAAATACATTGCCATTTTGAATATTGCATTTTAAATTGAATTTCGCTACCTATATGCTTCCATAGTTTTCAACCTTTTTTAACCATCATTTTCCACAACAATATTCAAAGACCCAATGACTTTCAGTTTTTCGTGATTTACTGAATAATGATATAAATTATATAAATTTTCTACCCAATAAAATATTTTAGAGCTTGGCATAACTAGAAAAATACGTGTTTACTATAGTAATGACCATGTAGTTGTATAATTTGTATATTTATTTACATGACTTTTCCAGGTCTAGTGCTGGAGAAGTAAACCCACTTTGGGGGTTTGTTTTGGGTATTGATGCTCCTGTGTGTGTTTATTTATTTAGACCATGTTTGTTTGACCTCTATATGGTGAATTTTGGAATGATCGATTGGAAAAACTGTCAATGTTTCCACGTTTGAATTGTTGGACTAAACAAAAATCCAGAAAATTCCACAAAATATCATTAAATATTTGACTTTATGATAAAATGATATTTTGCCTGTGTAAAGGCCCGTTCACACCAAGAACGATAACTATAAAGATAACTATATTAGCGTCCACACCAGCGGACGATATCGTCTGTCTGTTCTAAGCGCAAGCTCGTCTGCCGCTCTAAATTCTCCAGCTTGTGATAGCAGGATTGATTCTGATTGGCCGTCAGTGATTTTATCGTTCATCAGCTGGAAAAAATAATTCTGAAAGTGATTCCAACGATACCGTTTCTCTGTGCTTTTATCGTTATAGCTGTGGTGTGGACGCTGCTATTATTTAATATTGAGAACGATTTTTATAACTATATCTTTATCGTTATCTTTATAGTTATAGTCCTTAGTGTGACCTTAAAGCTCAGGTCAGAGTGCTTCTATGTGGTTGCTAGGGTGTTGCTAAGTGGTTTATTAGAGTGCAACTTAAGTAAATTATGATGTAGACCTGTGGTTTTCTATGGAAGCATATAGGTAGCAAAATTCAAATGCAATATGAATAAACTGAATACAAATTTTAACGCTTTATAAGTTGCAAAATTAAAATGAAAATATATAACAAATTGATTTGATATGTATTTAAAATTATGCTCACAGACATTTATAATATCCTCAAGTCTCTAAATATGATTTAGTCCCTAATTTAATGTAAGTTTATGAGATTTTTTTGGGTTTGTTTTATCCTTTGCCAGACGAAAATCGTAATTTCGATCACTTAGGAAAGTAAAATCACATGTCTCCTATTCAAGACGAGTTATGTGCCTAAGAAGATGTTACACTTTGTGTTAGGGATTAGAATAAAGCCTTAACAGTAAGTATGAGGAATATTAATAATGATGCTTGGCACCAATAAAAAATAAATTAAGAAAAACTTGAGCAATCAATTCTCTTTTTGCAGTCTTGTTTATTAAATGCAAGAACGCCGTGTGAGCTTTCCGTCCGAGTTCCTCTCATAAATAGAAAGATAATCAGAA